AGGACCTTGCACTTGTGAGGCAGGCGGTGGAACCACTGATTTAAATCCCCAGCCCAAAGGTTTTAATGGTTTGATCTACAGATACAATGAAATCTCTTTTATTGATGTGTTGCTGCACTGGTTTATAAAGATACAAAATTAAGGGCCAGGGATTTAGCTCAGTGGTTCTGACGTCTGCCTTGCAAGCATAAGGTCCTGAGTTTGATCACCGGTACCAAAAACAAACAAACAAACAAAGAGATACAAAATTAAAAAGAAGGGATTCTACTTCTAGGGTTGTTCGATTACAATTTACATCAACGATTTTTTGCCTTCTGTCCATCGTTCCCTCCCTACTACAATGGACTTAATCAGTCTTGTGAGAAAGTACTTTCCAGAAGGCTCTTGTAGTTGTGATTTATAATTTTGTCTAGATCAGGTTTTACAGATCAGATTGCTTGGAACCTCAGTCCTTGATAATGTTAAAAGTGTTCCCTGAAAAAGTGTTCATTGTGATACCCGAGATGACCAAGGCACTGCTCAGAACCATCAGACACATAGTTGAAGAACTCACCCGGGATGGACTCAGGCTGCCTTTTGCTTAAACCTATGTTGCCTTGTGAATCAAAGTTACAATGTCTGATATAAAAAGTAACTGTACTATATCTTCTTTAATTCATGTTAAGTAGTAAACATTATACAAGCAGCACATTCTCATTATACAAAAATAATGTAAAATATAGACACACATTTAACATAAAGTCTCTTATGTCATCACCTTGAAATAACTATTGTTAAAATTTTTGTCTGTTCTCTAGTTTTTTTCCTGAGCATCTATGTGCATAATCTCTCTCTCCCTTGCTCTCTTCTCTTTCTCTGTCTCTCATACACACACTTTAAAAACTGTTATATCATGTCTGTAGTTTTGCTGTTCAAAATTATTTTCTTAATGAACATTTACATTAGTTTATTTGATATATAGCATTGCAGTTATACATATTCCATAATACGTCAATTAATCTTTTATGACCTTTGAAAAATAATTCCATCGGGTAATGACTCTAAGAAATACTGTAAAAAAATTTAAATTAAAAGCAGGAAAACCATTTTCTCCTTCTTTTCTATCCTAAGATACTCAAAACAATACAGGAAAGAAAATCAGATAGGGAAGGGTGGAGGGGGTAAAGGATGCACAGGTAATGGGGAAAAAAATAAGAGCCAAGATGCATCATGTACAGGTACAAGCACCCAATGATAAATGTAAACATATTGTATAGCTAAAATGCACCAATAAAAGAATTTAAGAAAAAAAAAAGAAAATCAGGAATATTAAACAATGCTATTTATAATTCATTCCCTATCCAGATCGAAAAAGAATTATAGAAAGTCTTTATTTTTCATTATGACTTTTCAGCCAAAAGTAACCCAAGTTTAAAGTTTTCTTCATGAAAGGGCATATACTAGTGTCATTTAATCTTTTTCCACTAAGGACCTCTTTACAGAGAGTCCCTCACTAACTTACACACTGCTTATGGACATCTGTTTTGAAAGCTTCTAGGTACCAAAATAAATAGCATTTAGTAAGCATTGGCACAATTTTCACTTCAATACAGAGCTAAGTCTTCATCAATAATTAATAGTTATCGAGGCTGCACAAGGATATTATAAGCAGTGAAGTGAATGCTTATGAAAGGCTGTGTAGTGACAGCCTGGCCTGTAGTATCCCAATCCCATCCCAGAAATGCCTGTATGGCAACAACAGTTAAGCCACATTCCTTTTCAATATGATCTTACTAGTTTCACTAAGGAAAAGGCCATGTGTAACTCTAACCCAAAGCAAAAGACTTTAATGTTTTAAACTTTCTGGAATAGTAAATACAGGCCACAGACTGAAACTTGTCCCCACTTCCTGTCCTCTTTTGCTTCCTCTGTAGAATCTTAGGTCCCAGGAACCCACTGACTATGCAAAACCACTTCTTGGCATCCTAGATCTGCAAACTGACTGGCTCTCTACTACCATTTGAGCTCATTTCTTCACTCTTTTCCTTCAATGTACTTTCTGTGCCAGCCAAATCAAGCTGCCTGGAATGCCTGCATCTACACCTACCCAAAGCCATTGACATGTATCCCTACTTGCATCTTTTTTTTTTTTTTTTTTTGTACTGGGGATCGAACTCAGGACTTTCTGCTTGCAAGGCAGGCGGCGGAACCACTGAGCTAAATCCCTGGCCCCCCTACTTGCATCCTTTTATTCATGGGTTTCATTAATCCAGAATGCTTCATTCCCCATCTGCATTCTGCAACTGTATCCCAATTCCACTAGTTTTTAAAAACCCTCCACCATTCCCATAAGTTTAAGGTAAGTAACCATCAAGGGTAAGTATTTTAAGTGTTGTATATTTAGATAACCAAATAATAGTACTTAGTACCTACCATTATGCGGCTCACAAGTGCTTTGGCATAGAAAGAATTAGCACTAAGTGCTAATGCCAAATATTTTTGGATAAAGATAACATTTTCTTCTAACTTTTATAGAAGCACCTTTTCTATACTTCTCTTTTCTATTGTATCATCAAAATGTATCTGAACATTGTGTATCTCTAATATATTGTGAACTCTAGTATGTATGTTTTTGATTCATCTTTGGGGCACTAGAGAAACTTGAGATTTTTATGGGCTGGGTAAGTATTTGATATATTGTGATATTATTAATTATTATATCTCTGAAAAACCCTTCAAGGTGTCACATATACTGGTGTGTTTAGGTAATGGGGTGGTGGTAATGACTGGCATCAAGAAGTGCTGAGTTGATAATCTTGGTGTTGCGAGAAATATGAAATATGAAATATTACATCTCCCATCCTGTTAACTATAGATACGCCGAGTTCTTGTTCTCTAGAAATTGGAGAATAAGTCCTAGGAACAGCGGAGGTTAAGAGTAGGAAGATATTTATTGATAGGAAAGCTCCTGAGGGGCAGGAGGGGGCCCAAGTGGGTAGCCCAAGGACCCTACTTTACAGAGGAGTTTTATAGGGTGAAAACCACGTGGGTACAACGTGGGCCACAGCTATGAACATCCAATAAGGTTACAAGTATAGTCACTTCGGTAATGGTGGTCCACTTGGGAAGTGAGTCACATAGCAAGTGTGGATGGAAAAACAAGGATTCTCCTAGGGGGTGGTGGGTCCAGAGGTCTCTGGTCACCTCCAGGGTGGTCGATGCCTATCTATACTTCACTAAGCCCAGTTCGTTGAAGAAGTATGTGGGTCTGGTCATCTTGTCTCCATCTTGAGGCCTGGTTTTCAGCTGATGTACAGCTGTGGTGTGTTTCACATTTGTCCTGGCCCTCTCGAGGACTTAGCCCTATCTGACTGCCTATAATACTTCTACCTAGCTCATCTATTATATTGATTCTGGGTAGTCCTGGTGCTGGGTAACCAGAGGAAAATCTATTCACCACTTTATTCCTCAAATTTAGGGTGCTTATACAGATACAATCGAGATAACACATCAATGTCCCAGCTTACTTCAGCCTCCACCTGAGATTATTTCCTATTTCCTGAATGAATTCCTCTTCCTGAATTCTTTGTATTTGTGGTACTGATATCCACTGAAGCTCTCTTCTTCAGTCCCTCCTCCATTGATCATTTGGCCCTATTAATTTTGCACCCTAAATATTTTTTGGATCTTTCCCTTCTTTCCTGTTCCCTATATTACCCCCCCACACACACACACACATACATACACACTTATTAGGGCCAGTGCAGCAGCCCTATTCACTTTTCTATTTCATATCTATGGTCACTGTCCCCTGATTCAACCATCACAACGATCTTTCCCAAGTACAAATCTTGCTATTTTATTGCTTTCCTTTCAACCTTCAGTGTTTCCTTATCACCTCCAGAATAAAAGCCAAGGTCTTCCCAAGGCATAGAAGAAAGTAATTCATAATGAACTTCCTGCTCTTGCTACTAGTTGTCTCAAACTTTGTGGTTCAGCTGAATTTAGCTATCAATTCCTAACCCCATCAGGTTATTTTTTTGCCACTGGGCTTTTGATTGAATTGTCTCCATTGTTTGGAATGTCCTCTTCCTTGGCCAATTTCCTTTCATCCTTTCTCAGTCTAGACACTGAAATTCTTGGAAAACTTCCTCAACAGGCTTCACAAGGTGTCCTTCATATTTCTACCACTGCTGTAATAATTTTCAGATGGTATCATCATCTATCTAACCCTGTCTTTAATAAAATATGAACTCTCTAGATGAGTGTATTAGTCAACTTCCCTGTCACTGAGACACAATACATGACAGCAACAATTTAAAGAAAGAGAGTTTTAGTTTGGGCTTATGGTTTCAGGGTATTCAGTTTATGGTCAGCTGGCACTAAGGCAAAAACATCAAAGCAGAAGGGCACGGTAGAGCAAAGCAGCACAGTTCATAGTGGGGAGAAGCAGAGCAAAGGAAGAGTGCCAAAGAGGAAGGGGTGAAAGTTCAGATAGAGAACCCAACGTCACAATTCCTGACCCACCAGACACACTCAGAAGTGTGCTTTCATCTCCTGGGTGGCTCCCAAGCTAATCAAATCAACACAAGACTTACTGTCACAATGAGGTACTGCTTTATTAACTTCCATATCCACAGTACCACAGTTCCACCAAGACTCTGGCACAGAATAAGCATTCAAAAACTACAGACCACATTACCAAATCGTTACCATAGGGTTTGTTTTCTGTAATACAATGCTTTACTTGTTTCTCCTTTCCAAAATAAGGTTAGTTCTGAAATACATCAACAAAAAGACTTTAAATTTAAATACATATATATATATATACACACATATATAATTATATATATATATATATATAATTTTTGAAAGCTTCTGAGACTTACCTGGAATGTATAATAGCTGCATATTCCCTTCAGTAAAACACGAGTCACAAGCTCTACTGTGTTTATGGAACTATAATGAAAAAACAAAAACAAATTATATTTGCCTAGATCGTTATACTTTTCAAAGTTACTTTACTGAACACTCACAACAGTCTTAGAAAAGGACACAGCTTACTTGACCTTGCAACTTGTGCAGCTAACAGACATCTCAATATAATGTGTGTGAAACGAAGTTCCTGCTCTTCTCTCCCAAACCTGCTCCTTCTTTATCTTCACCACTGAAATGAACAATAATTTTATTCTTTGTGTTTGCACTACAAGCCTTAGATTCATTCTCAACTTTGTCTTTCACAGTCCTTATCAGTTAATTCTATTAATTCTATGGGCAGATATACATCCACAGTCAAACCACTTCTTATCATCTCTACCTAGGTCAAGCCACCATCTTCTTTCCTTTTCCCCATCCCAGTGATAGTCTCTTAACTTATCCCCTTCTGCTCTTGACCCAGTCAGTCTATTCAGACAGCAGTGTGAGTGATCCTTTTCTAGTATGAAGGTAAAATTATGTTGTTCCTTTGCTCAACCTCCACCTCACCCGTCCTCACCATCCCTGCCCATGGGTTCCTCCTTTGGCTCAAAGTAAGCGGCCTTAAACCCCTCCACAAGGCCCAGCTCCCCTTTAGAGTAGGAATTCATCCCTCCTACTCTCCACTTTGCTCTTCCCACCAGCCACACTAGAGTCCTTCCTTTGCTTCCTGCAATTCCTCCTGTTTCCACTTCAGGATGTTCGTGCTTATTTCCTCAGCTTGGAATGTTCTTCCAGATACAAGCATGGCTCAGGTCTTTACACAAATTTTATCTTTTGAACAAGCCCCTCTCTAGCCATTCTACCTATGGTACATTGAAAAAAAGTGGCCATGATATTTTGCAGTTCTTCTCATGCACAGAAGGAGTCTTTTTCTCTTCTCACGGAATTGGACAGAGAATGTGATGGAAGCGACGATTGTGGGTTTCAGAGCCTAGGGCTCATGAGATTTTGTAGCCTCTACCTTACTCTTTTGGGATGTTCCTTGGCAGCGTAAAGAAGCCTGCAACAGATGGTGAAGGATGGGTGAGAGCCCACATCAAGGGAGAGGCCTGGCAGACTGTCTGCATCAAGACCTCAAACATGTCTATCTGAGGGGCTCCAGGCAAGATCAACAAAAGAGCCTCCTGATGATCTCAGTCCTAATTATTGACCCACAGAATTGTGAAAAATAGCTGATGCTTTTTGTTTTATGCCACTACATTTAAGGAGGCTTGTTATATAGTATCAGATAATAGAAGCACTGAACATTTCAACCCTTCCCAGATACTCCTTTAATTATTTATATCCAACTAATTAGAAAATAAGCTCTATAAGGACAGGACTTTTTTTCCTATTTTGTTCACTTTATTGCCTCCAGTACCTATTATAGAGCTAGTCAATAGGTGCTCAATAAATATTTGTTAAACTGGTGAATGAATTACTGTAGAATTGGGAGGGCTTTGCAGACCAACCAGTATTGTCCCCCTCCTTTTTTAAAAAAGAAAACAGATACCTAGTAAGGTTGTGCAGCAATGTCAGAACTGGAGAACAGAACTTCTTGTTTCTTGTAAAAGAGAAAGGTCAATTTTCCACATTTATACAATTTTGCATATTGAGGTCTTTTGTATATGAAATACTTTTAGTATTTCAAGTGACAGAAATCCAGCTTGATCTACCTTAATTTTTAAAAAGGGCCATAAAGAATCTGTTCATGAAGCCAGAAGGTCTAGAGGTCCAGGGACTCAAATGATGCTGTTGAAGCTCTGTCACTCTTGGATAGATTCTATCCATTGTCAGATGAATAACCCCAGAGAACAAAGCTGATAACAATGTCAGGCAATACCCGGGGGCCTGTCCAGTGCCCATTCCTGAACCAATCACTGTAGCCAAAAGCATGGATACCCTCTTACTGGCCAGGCTTGGTTTATTCCTTTGGATGGAGCTAGGGAACTGTACCAACTTTATCTTCTTCATATTGAATGGACTTCCTTGGGAAAGGATGTTCTGTAAGAAGACAGTAGAGGTAAGGAGTACAAGACACTAAAACTCCATACGTCTGCTCACATTCTATTAGCTACATTATGCAACTGTCTGTAGTTAAAACCTCTCTGATAAGAGAAAATAAATAGATATCATTGATTTTCCCCTATGAAGAAGGACTAGCAACAAAGCAGGAGACATTTCACTTTGAATGGAAAAGCAGACGGAAGTGATTGCCAAGCTTGCTGAGATTCTCTTGCTTAGCTCCGACCAGTACTCTATATGGCAGATTCAGAATTTAAAGATGGGGTGAGGGGTGGGAAGGAGTCTACTTGGTTAAGAATCCACATCAAACAAGTATCTGCAGCAATATCCACACCTGGAATAAAGTTGAAGTTATTTCACAGAAGCCTGCCTTGAGGAGAGACACTGGGGAGGGGGTAAAGGGGAAGGCACTGGATTTTATCAGAAAAAATCACCATGTTTAACAAAGATTTTGAGAACAAGCTGAAATGAGAATCTACACTGTCCATTACAGGGCAGCACTGAGGTGAGAGAACAGAATCAATATGCCTCAGCAATACTTAAGAGATGTTTTTCATCTGGAAAATGATCTTAGGACCACTTTTGCTATTTTGAAATCCAGCCCAAGCACTTGTGAAAAGATGACCTTTTATATATTACATTTTGCAGAGAACTATATATAGTTGGATACAATATCTTGATCTAACAGGGGAAAATGAAATAGAAAGAAAAATGGTATTTCTGGGTTTTCAACCAAAAAAGTAGTGCATGGTAGGAGAGAATGGAGGGTGTAAACTTGGCCCAGTAGAGCATGCTGGCTGAAATGTCATTATCTGAAGGATTCTAGACATCTGCATTATTTTGCATGAGCTACCATCAGCAAGTGACTTAGGCAGAGTGTGGAAATATTGTTTTTGCATTTCTTAAAACCATCTTGTTCTGATCCTTGGCTTCCCACGCTTTGACGGGGAGGGGTGCTCAGAAGAAAAGGTTACTGATTCCCGAAAGGTTATAAGTCTTTTTTTTCCTTTTAAAGAACAACATTTCAGCTTGATATTATTTTAGTATTTACCACTATGTATTGTCTTAGACCTCATCTTGGCAAAGGGCTCCTAAACAACTGCCACTTTTAGCATTGCTGCCAAAAGGCGCCCTTTCACAATAAAGCATGCTGTGCTTTGGCAGGAAATCAATAAAGTGAAAATCTGTTCTCATCATCCATACATTTACCATCACAATCAACAATCAAAGGCGAGACCTGGGTTCTTTATCCACAGGCTCCAGCCTCCCAATTTTCTGCTATGAAAGGCAGCATAAATTAGAACCCTTGGTTCCTGTTAGCCGGGCTTAATGGGTATGATTTATGAACCATTAAATGAGGTTATGTAAATTGATCCTTAGCAGAATGCTAGCGCCCAGGTGACAGGTGCAGCATGCTCGTCCATAAGGGTTCTGCACAAATCAGATTTCAGTGACATTCAGTTTGTGGAAAGAGAAATATGTTGTCAACAAGGAAGTGATTTAAATAGTGCCCTGGGTTTGTCAGCAATTATGCCTTTCTTCTTAATTGCTTCAAACTATATAAATTCTAATAGGAAATAAATTAGTAATTTACCAGTTAATGACAAGGGGTATAAAAGAGAAGGGCTTAAATATTTTAAAAGCCATATTACCAGTGAGGCCATACACTGGGGTGATTTCACTGATGCTGTTAAAGTTGAAGAGATACTTTAAAACAGGAGTATAAACTTTGACACACAACTAAAATTACATGCATTGCAGCTGAAAACAGGATTCAATAGGAAATGCCCTTGCAGAATTGCTTTGTGTGTTCCACAGAAATGGAGATGACCCTGGGGTTTCTATTTTTCATCATTAACATTTTAAGTTTAAAACAATGGTCTTTTTAACCAGGTGGGAAAAAAAACTTACTTTATACTTAAAAACTTATTGTAAGCCTGGCCTCTGATCAATCAAGTAAGAACCATGTAACTGTAACTGTGTTATGAGAATGAAGGTGAGCAATGTAGCTGATGTTTCAAAGCTGTTAGTTTTGCCTGCCTTGCTTAGACAATAGAGAACAATAATCACATACTTCTTGCTATCATCTTGGTTGTAATATGAGCAGGTTTTGTGGGTGATAATAAACCCCTCATTTTAAACTTCCAAAGTAAAGGCTCAATTTAAAAAAAAAATCACGAGGGAGCATATACAAATTAATTTCATCAGCTTTGAAAATGGAAAATAGAAAACCTCAAACTTGTTCCTCCTTTGGGGCTCACTGGCCTAATCAAGAATGTGATGGCCTTCTGAGAAAGGCTTCTCCTGGGAAAGTCCGTTCAATATCACCCTGGCTTTTGTCTGAAGCTATTATTGTGCCTGTTTCCATGAGGCTGACCCCAGTAAGAGGACACACACAGATGTGGTAGTGATGTTCCCTGGTCCCTGGCTGAGCCTATTAGAGGCCCCCACGGGAGGCCCCCACCACTCTTTTTACCAGTCATTTCTACTTCACAAGTGCAGTTGTTTATGACCAGGGGAGATGATTTGACCCACTGTGGTGCTCCAGGAAAGAGTGAAAAGAGTGACGACAGAGCAGGGGTCAGATGTTTAAAGAGACTTGTGACTATGGTCCACTCGGAGAGGCTCTCCCCAGCAAAGGAAAACACTAAAACATCATTTGTGAACTTAGAGAAGGGGCCTGAGAGGTCACAAGTGAAGAATTATGTAACCATTGGGATCTACTAATGATTTTAGTGCTAGTAGGTAAAGATAATTCAGAAGTAAAGAAGTGTTATGAAAAGGAGTTTTGTGACTACTCTAGGAAAGAATACCCAGAAATCCATATGCAGCCATAAAGATTCACCAGCTATTTCAAATTTGAGCATCACCATTCAGTGTGCGGCTGGGATAAGTCAATTTACCTTAGGTTCTGAATAACAGCCCTATTTCATGTGATTCTGTTGTGACTATTAAAGATGTAATACATAAAGGTACTGACATACAGCAAGCACTCAATTTTTTGGTAGTCTGAGACACACATTTATACAGACAATATTTAAGATATTGAAATACATACATATATATATATATACGTTTGTATTTCAGAGAGAAAGAGAATTTCAGTTTTCTCTGAATTAAAAATAAAATTGAGATTTAAAAATACCTAGTACCTACTGCATGGAGTTATTCTCAAGATTAAATGAG